GATGAAACGCAGGGGGGGGGGGGGGGGGTCAGCGGGCGAGTATTCAAGGCCGACGGGTGGGGTGGGGCACCAAGCGACAAAAAAACGGCCATGCACAACATATCCTTGCGTGACTATTTTGGCTTATTCCATGGCCGACGCAGCAGTGGGGGGCACCAAGCGCAAAGAAACATGCCCGGCCATAGCCAACGTCCGTATGCATACGGCATAAGGTGTATTCTCTTCACTTCATGCCTGCAGAGCTGGTGCTCCACAATCACCACGCACGCATTAAAGAGGGTCCGCATAACACAGCGTGATGAGAGCAACAACGACAACAGCTCTGCGTCTCTTCCGACCCAGGCCCCTGTGACTAGACTTCCCCTCGATGCTAAATAAAGTATTTCACTCGACTCTTTCATGGTGTTGATAAAAAGATACAAGGACCCTCTCCGTCTTGCGGTGCAGCCACAAGGTCGCCGCCTGCGCACCTGTGTCATCTGAGCGTCCAGCTCTGCTGCCTGGTCGTAGTCCTCATCTGTCAGAGCCGTGGCCAGCCGAGCCTGCAAGAGAAGCCGCAAGAAAAAAACAAACAAAAAAAGACGGACAAGATCATATTGACTGCTGTTAGTACGGGCCCGCTTCAAATAAACGTCAAAATCGGGGCAAGGCTTAATCTCACATTCTCGCAATGCTTGGGGGCACCATGCCCACTGCAAGCGGTGTGCGTCAAATCCACCAATCCCTGACATGGTGGCGCCCGTCCCCAAAACTACCTCAAGTATTATACGTCTAGATTTGGCCTGTTGACCCCTGCTTCAATAGCGGCTGCCGTGGAAGAGGGGATCGGGAAAAGCCCGGAAACGTTCTGCAAAATCCGCTAGGAAACCGTTCTCGCGCCATGGGACAAGCTATTGAAACTCTCATAAACCCGCCTTTTCTCATTGACAATCTCTGTCAACCCGTAGGCGTCCTTTCAACTCTCAACAAGCCGCCCTCTCTTGAACATTCTCTCATAAAACCGTAGCGTCTCCGGAACGTGTTTGCTGGAAGTTTTTCAAGAACCACGCGCGAGACCCGACGAGAGAAAACTCTTTGTTGGAAGCTGACCACTGCCTCTGCGGCTACCATACTCACATCTAGGTCCGCGAGGTCGCGCTCAACCTCCGCCGCCTCCAATTCGATCAGCTCCCTCGAGGCAACCATAGCCTGACGACGACGACGGCGATACGGGACAAAAGACGGAGGGTTGCGGGAGTTTCGTTAACAACGCCCGATCACTTGATCCCCCCTAAAGGAAGCGCTAGGTGCGGAGCCGGGACCACATTTCTACATGAGTCGTGAAAATGCATGGAGACGTAGTACCTCCACATGACCGTCACGTGTGCGTATGGTTTTCAAGTAATAAACAGCAATACAGAGGGTAGACCGGAGCACGGACCCGTCATCATACGCTTCGACAGAGGAATCCCATCTCAGTCAGCCCCTTAGGTTCTTACTAAAGAGTAAATCAAACCATCACCGCAAAACAACACGAGAGAAGATAGAAAAGCACACCGGCAGGTCACCGTGCATGATCAGGTCGAAGTATCGACGCACGGCAAGCAACTCAGCTACTTACGTATGCACGCTGCTTCCGAGAAATCCGTCCCCCCTTACCGGATCGTCTTCAGCCTTTCGCGGGACGGCTTCCACGTGAGTGGCGGTATCTTCCGGTTTGGCTGCTTCTACGTCGTTCCCATCTGCCGAACCCCCATCCTGGCAGGCGGGTGGATGGGGAGGCAGCTGTGAAACCGACACGCAGCTGTGAAACCGACACCGGACATGACGCTCAATATCACCCCCCTTTAGCTACCAATGTGTTGGGATAGCATTTGTACCGGCATCACGAGTGTTTCGAACGCTCAACGCCACCGCATGCTCTCGCGCCGACCGCTTGGTCTTAATTCATCACGAAATAAAAGGGCGATAACTACACCGGTTGCGATTTTCCAAAAGCTAATTGCGAAAGTTTGTCAACCCGGCAGCCCACCAAATTGTGCCAAAAGCACTCTACATGTATTGCTGGGCACCCATTTTCGTCAGTTTTTGCTCTTCTTGAAAAGCCTGCGCGGTTGTTTGCCCTCTGTGAGAGAGTCAGCCGCCTCTTCGAGACATCCCTCAACAAGACGGCGAAGAAACAATCAACCAAGGAACCGTAGAAGAAGTTGTTCACCGTACAACACTATAAATTCATTGCTTATCTATCGCGGACTCTTATCTGTGGAAGAGGTGCATTTCTTGAGTTATTTGTAAGAAAAAAAAAAAAATGAACGACGGACAATCGGCCCGCCTTAAGCGATTTCACAATCGGCCCGCCTTAAGTGATTTCTCGTGTGACAGAGACTCACCTCTTCATCAACCTCCACCGAAGTAACCACCTCCTGCCCTGACCCTCCAGCTGCTGGGCCTGCCGAACAGTCCGAACCACCACCACCACCACCACTACCACTACCATCGGATTCGTCGTCCGAGTCTCCAGGCTGAGGCTGAGATAGCTCCGGCGGGGCGAGGCCGTGCCTCGCGCTGATGTCCTTCGCCTCGGCGTCTAGGCTCGCGAGCTGCACCACCAGGAGGGACTCCGCTGCGTCTCTGTGTTGTGTCGCACGTGAGGAATTCGCTAACGTTAGATCTGAACAAGAGGATGCAATGGGCTCCAGGATATGCGGGGGATCGTTGCGGGGGGAGGGGCTATTTCTGAACGATAATTGTCCAACACACCCTTACGAGAGGGCGACCGTGGGTGGAGAGCCGTGCTGAAAAACCGTTCCGAAAAAATATGTACATCAGGAGGCGAGGGTTTCCGATGCGCGGTGCTTTCGTCTGTACCCTTTGCACCGAATGCGAGCCGGGACCGCACAAGTTTACACAGCGCCCAGCAAACAGGCTCTCCTTACACCGACCCTCAAACTTTACACGGGATCGTCCAACAAGGTGCTTAAGGGCTCAGGAAACAACCTCGAACGTACCCTTCGCCGTTACAAGGCAAGGCAAATGGCATGACAACCCGCCCGCCTTTATGCATCCAAGGGGCGAGGCTACTGTACCGTCACCAAGGTCAGGAAGCGGCTGACTAACATCTTCGCCGCGTATCTATGTAGCCGCACGAAAAAGCGCCTTCTCTGGGATGCATACATGTCCAGGACCTTCCGCAGCAACGGGCAAACCAACCATGCATCCTTTGACACGCCTCTCAAAAGGAGAGCCAGGTCAAGGCAAGGCGACACCGCTGCAACGCTTGCCTGAGTCCTCCGGTCTTGCCCCTGCGCGCCACGGCTCGACTCGCGATCCTTAGAGGCTTGGCGCGTCTCTCCAGCGCCGCGATCCTCGAAGTCGCCACTGCTTCCTCGGCCACCCTCAACGCCTCCTCCGCTTGCATCAGCTCTAAAGAGCAGTGCAAATTCCATGCATCACGCGAAAAAAGGAGGCGCGCACGCAGGGGGGGGGGGGGGGGGGGGGAAACTGTTGGGTTTTTCATGTTTTAACGGTTAAAACATTGGCCCCCCCCCCCAAAAAAACCGGGTTCCCCACGGAAAAGGGGGGGGGGGGGGGGGG